AACAATGTCATTGAAATTGAATGGAAAGGTAAAATTACCTGTGTAAGAAATACTTCTATGATAGATGCAAGTCTGGTTTATTCATGTGTGTGTTCCTGACTGTGCATCCATGGAGACCCTATAATATGCTGCATTCTTTAGCTACAGAGACAACTTGGGTAACTTTATAAAAACCCTAAATTGATGAACACTTATGTACAAGCAGTGTTGTTGAAATACACTGAAATTTTTGAAATTATGCACCATGAATACTTTTAATCTCGTATTCATTTAATTTTCTTTCAAATGATTATAAACTTCAGTCTGGTTTGGATAAATCAGATTTTGAAGTGAGATCCTTGAAGTGCCAAGAGGACAACTGTGTTGATGTGTGTAGTGAGATGTCTTATTATTTAGCCAAGATACTCATTTGTGGATTATTATTTTATTACTACTTTTGCTGGTTTGGGTGGCAATTAAGATTTGAGTCAAAGAGGCCCTACCTCATTTTAGGGCAACTGGTTTTTATCTCTGTTCATGTAATTGCCGTAAATTTAGTTTTTGCCTTTAAAGTCACATACAGGGAAACTACTGTACAGTGTGCTCCACTTAAACAGAATAAATAAAAGGAAAAAAATTAAAAAAAAAAAAAAGACTTTTACAGTCTTGATGTTATGAAAGCATAGTTCTTGTCTTGAATGACTAAGGCTTTTGTGAGTACTTTGTTACATATTGTATATATGTAAGTTGATTTGAATTAAAGAATGGAAGACATTGTAGATCTGTTAGATAACTGTAATTATAAGGAAGATACTTTTGTGGTAATACTTACAAGCTGCTGCTTATTTTCAGGATTTGCATAATAGTGTGTTTCATTCTGATAAAGAGCTACCAAAGGAAGGGGTTTTGATCATGGTATAATGAGAATTTAACTGAGCAATATTTTCTTGAGAGACAACTTACTAAGTTTATGTAATATGGTTTTGTGCATCAATTAAAAGGCCACTATCTCTTCTTAAAGTAAGCATTGCTAAAAGTTGACATCTCATGAGTTTACATATTAAAGTCCTTGTTTTGTCATCTGATGTCATTAATTGTATTGCATTCTTTTGAACTATTTTTATTCCCTTTGTTTAGAAACTAAACATGTGTTTAGTTTATTGTATTTAAAACATATTTAATATTGTAATTTAATGTAGACTTATTTTAATATTTGAATCTTCAGTTAATTCAAATAAAAACTTTGATGCATATTAAACATTAATTCCTTAGCCTTTGTGAGAATGTAGCACTTAAGTGTACTTACGCAGTTTGTTGTTTAGTGTTAATTATAACACTTGCCTTGTAACTTACTTTCACTGCAGATGAAAGCTAATCAGCTCCATCTTACTAGACTTTTGAAACAAAAAGACATATATGCCTCACAGAAGTAAAATGGGCAGAGGCTTTATCCACCCAGAAAGTTGGCAGTAATGGACAACACAATTTGGTGGTATATATCAAGAAGTGAATGTGTACTCTCTTCCCTTTCTGAACCCAAACTTCCTCATTCGGGGGTTTTAAACAATTATGCTAAAAGCAGTGGTGTTATTCGGGAGATGATTTAAATGGTTCTGCCTTATGAAGCGATGTTGATTGACTAATTAAAAATGCTGAGATAGGCAATTTTTCTTAATTGCCGTAGAGTAGAACTTCTTGGCTGAATTACTCTGTCTGGTATACCAATTAAAAATAAGTTGTTACATGAGCAGTGGAAATAATTAAGCTTGCATTTGTATGATGTATATGTCTGTTGTCCTATGCTGTATTCCCCCTCTCTTGCTCCCAGCCCCCCAACCACAATAACCTCAAGAAGCACTGTTGTGTTTCTCTCATTAGTTCTGCCTTTCTGTTCTGAAATTGTTCTGACAGCGGCCTTAGAGGTTCAGGAGCCACGAGAGACTGATGGGCTGTGTCATCACGCGTGACTCTCTTTCTCAGGCCCTCATGTTTAATCTGGTTTTCTCATATTCCTCCTCCTAGGATGTTGCATGTGCTAAACAAATAGGTAAGCAGTTTAGAAGTAAAAGATCACTATTTAGTTTATCAGTCAGCCCGGTAATCGCTATTTCATAGTAAAATAGCTGCATTTGATTGCTTTTTTTAAAGCTAGTGATAGAATCCGGCTGAGCATCCTGTCCCAGCCAGTTGTTAGTCTGATGCTGGCTATTTGGTGGTTCACCACATCCTTGGGTGTATTGTGCCCACAGGGCAGAGGTGTCTCAAATTTTCTTGCTGGAAGATCACCTAATGTTGAAGATATCAGGGTGTGGCAAAGGAACAGATTTCCTCTGCAGCGCATCCATGTTCAGTAGAAAGAGAAGTCTTGAGAAGTCCCTGGCAACACAACACCTTTGGAACAGACTGTGTAGCAACTTGTATGGAAGGACAAAAAGAACCAACCACAAAAAGCCTCCTTCCTGCCCACTGCTTGTGTCTTGCTTTTCCTAGTTTTGTATTTTAGCTCCCACTGCAAGTCCTTTATTTGGACCTGGCTTTATGATCTAACTCATTTGCCCTGCTTCAAACTCTTTGTGTATTCTTCAGAGTCTTTCTTTTTTTGTGCTACACATTTGAAAAAAAAATTACATACCATTCAGGCAATTTTTTTAGTGTGTCAATTGTTGTGCATTTAGACTTATCTGTACGTTTATGAGCTTTGACAGTTGTGTTGGGGGAGTGGACTCTACTATAATGTTGGTTATCTGTTCCTCGCAAGTCTCTAGACAGAAAATAACCCTGTGAAGTCAGGTAACAGGCAGCAAAAGGCTAAAGAAAAAATGGAGTCATGTTTCAGTGAAATTTTTCCCTGGTAAAAATTCTCAACCTCGATGCTGTCTTACGTAGTGGTATTCTGCCTTAAGAGTGTGTGCTGTGTAACTGGTCTCCTATATCTCACAGGTATTTCCCATGCTCTTCCCCATATGCAGCCATTATGCATCCATGGCTCTTCAGTGTCAGAGATGTACCAGAGTTAATCTGGAACTCTGTCAGTGTTGATTAGCCAGCAACTCTGTAAAAGAAAACATGCAAGGGCTAGGTACAGACTACCTTTTGCTTCATGGCAGCACTAACTTGGATCTTTGTGCTCTGTCTTTATACCAGTTTTTATGGTAGTAATTTTTAAATTTTTTGCTATCAAGTTTGATTGATTTTAGCCAAGTTATTGAGCAGTGAGGCTAATGGCCAAACTGGTTGCACAAGACTCGGTTCATTAGGAAAACAGGCTAACAATCACTACATTGATGCTTTTACTGACAGTGACATAGAGATTGATTACTGTGGAGTCTCTACACTGCTATAAAAGGCTTAGTAAGCTAATTATTCACAGCATATAAGATCAGCATCATTCTCTGCTCATGACCAAATGTTCTTTACTTACCAATTTCATGCTACAGTGCTGTTGCTTTATGCAACTTACAGATTGATTTTTAACTGGTCCTAATCCAAAAATCAACGTTTTCCAAATTACAGACTCCTACCAGTTTTTTAGTAGAGGTGCAGACCACCGCATAGCAAGTTCAAACCTGACAGGGGAGCTCCCTCTCTGTTTCGCTTTTTTTGCAGACTTCAAGTAGCCCACAGACCTCCCCCTGCTCCCGGTGCAGGCCTCAAAAACAGTGATCGAAAACCTAGAACAACCGCTGTCCCACCTCCATTAACCTCAACTCCTCTGCAGATGACTCATTCAAACACTTGATGGAGCTGATGATTACATCCTTTTTAAAGCTGAGTAACTTCTGCTTTTGGTAATGCAGGGTGAGAATAAATGTACTGTAGAAAAAAGTACAACAAGAAAAGGATACAAACAAAGGATACAACAAGAAAACATTTCTGTCTCCAAAAATGCAGTATTAAGACATGTCTTGTTTATTGTAACAGTATTTAAAAAAAAAAAACAAAACAGGCACATCCACAAGCCACGCTGAAGAGCTAATAATCTTCTCTACGGTGTTTTGGGGAAATAGGAAACATAAGTGAGCTGAGCCAAACAGCAGAAGGTCATCAAGTTCACAACACTTATAATTGACTTTTAGCTGCTGGTAATAATAGCTGAACTGCATTTCAATTTGGTTCTAAGTAAAAATGTAGAAAGGCAGCTCAGGAGGATAAAGGATTCGGTCTCAGAGTTGACTGGTCTAGAGTACATTGTAATGAGCAGAGGGATGATATGGGAGTCAGTATGAGTAAGCAGAAACACCCTATTACTGGCACGCTTTCTTACAGTACTAAAAATAGGATTTTGGTAGTAAAGTAAATACTTCTGAAGTACATGCTTTCTGTGAGAAAGTATATCCTTAACAGCTCAGGCAAGAAAGAGAATTGAATTAGAAAGGATCGAATGTCCTGGGCTCTGTATCTCCTTTTCTGTGTTAACAGCTGACAGTTTTGATACTGACAAACTTCACCTTTTCTAGTTTTCTCAAAAAAAGTGGTTTCTTAAAATTCTTGTATATAAAAATATCAAACAACATCAGAAGCTGTTTTATATAGCTTTACCCATACACCTTTTTGCCCATGCAGCCCCAATTTTACACGTATGACCACAACTCATTAGTGATCCCTCTTCTAGCTTGAAACGGATACATGGATTATATATACGCACAGGTATACATAGAAGCATCAATTCAGAGGTAACTGAGACTATTCAACCTCTGGTGATTTGATACAGCTAGGACTGGTTTTAGCCTGGGCAAGATGACTATACTCACCTTAGACAGTCTTTATACTCCATGGCGAGAAAGGTATTCTGGAAGAAATTCAGAATTTAGGTGGGTTTAATTTGTAACCAAAGGTGCCGCTCACCCTCCTCTAGCACCCTCTTCCCCCTTTAACCCAGGGACGCCTGGACTGACTGCGTTCCCCTCTTGGGAACTAAAATGCCTAAATTCTAATGCCTAAAATTAGCTAGGGTGAACCTGGGCCTCGATGGTTCTTCACAGTTCTCATTTATCAGTTTTTACCAGGCAAAAGTAGCCGAGATGAGACAGTCTGCAGAAAGTCCCCAAGCCAGCGAGTGCCCATCTCCGCACGTCCGGGCTGCGGGCAGCAGCCTGGGGCCACCGCTGGGGTTGCACGCGGGGTTGAACCGCGTGATGGGTATGGTATAGCTGCTCGCACCACCTATACGTGCAACCGCGCGCGGTTAACTGCGCACCAGCCTCCGCGGACACGGCTACGTATAGCTCAGAGCCCTACGCAAACCCCACCTGCACGCGTAACGTGTGGCGTTACCACAGCGCAGCCACGCACGTGCTGTGCATATACTACACACACTGTATGCCTCACACGCTCGTTTGTACATGGATATACGCACTGCATATACCGTACTCAGCACATGCATTATATACATATGCTTGCGCGCATATATCTAGGTATACATACTGCCCCACGTGCTTACACATATACACCCCCCCTCAACTGTGTTTATATAGGTATTATTTTGCGTGTGCGTAAACACCCAGTCACTGCCACCGCCCGCCGCCTCAGGCAGGGAGGGAGGGAGCGAGCGAGGGACCGTTGGAGGGCGCGGCACC